GCCCATCCAACAGGAAAAACATCTAATGAATTAATTGGTAAAACATGATAAAATAATTTATCATCATTAAATAAACTTGTATCATCAATTCTTAACCACATAAGATGATCAGCAACATGAATAAGTGTTACAGAAAAAACATAATCTTTATTATTTAATGTATATATCATTTCCATTTTCATTCCTGGTTCAACACGATTATTTCCAGCAGCATTTAATGTTATTAAATTAAAACATCTTTCAGGTGCTAAATTTTCAATACCATTTTTTTCTGTATATAAATTCCAATAATCTTCTGTTTGTCGAATACTTTTACCATTCATTAATGCAAGTTTATGTTCAGCAGCCCAATGTGCTGGTAATATATGTGGATGTGTTGAATATCCAATAAATGATAATTCATTAGTATTATTATCATCATCATTATCAATAATAATATCAAAATAATAATCATTATGTATATGACCAATTCTTCCAATATGAATATTTTGTTTATTTGATTCAAATATTTCTAATTTCATTCCTTCATTAAAACGATGTTTAATTATTTCTTCTTGTGCTTTAAATAAATTTAATGGTAGAAATTGTTTTTTTGATTGATTTAAACATATATCAATTAATTTTTCTTTATCTATTGTTATTAATTTTAAACATATTGGAATATCATAAAAAAAAATTGAAGAATTATTTGATTGCCAACCAATAAAATGAACACGACGATCAAGATAAAATATATGAATATCTAATGAAGAATCTTCTTCTTCTTCTTCATCCTCAGTTATATTAGTAATATATCGAAGATGTAATCGTCCACCACGATTATTAATTATTCGAACAAACCATAAAGTCCATGGACGATTTATATCTTGTAATTCAAGTAACATGCCTTTTTTTAATTGTTCTGAAGGATTTAAACCAATTTCCTAAAATAAAAAAAAACAATCGTATTTATTGTTCGATCCGAAAAATAATTTTTGGTTTATAATCAAACATAGGAAAATGTCGAAAATATTTTCAGCACAGTGTTTTTCCCTTCTAGAAGGACGATTTAAAACTAGATGAACACCTATATTTGTAAGTGTAAATGCACACTACCAACTTCAGAAGGGCGCGCTACTCTCTTATGCTGGATAAAACGTTATTTAACTACTTGAATAAAATACTTAAATTCATGTTTAATCAACTAAGAAACTTGAGTATTATATTTTATTATCAATTAACTTATTCGAAAAGTTTCATCTATATAATCTATCTTATAGAATTCATTTTATAAATTAATACACTTATTCAATCAAATATACAGAATGTCTCAATAGTCCATCGGGAAATGTTAATATAAATATTTCTTATACAATCCAAACGATTAAATCTCATATCATGAACAACAAGGTATTGAATTATGATTGAATACTTTTCATTAGAATCATACAAGATACAATTTATTCGTGGAATAGATCAAGTCTTTGCAATAACTCGAACACTTGATTGTACTTCATTTTGTCATTGTATCAATTTCACAAAAAATATTGAAATATAATTTATAGTTTTCGTTTCGCAACTATAGTACAGATTCAATCGTTTGAATTGTATACAAAATATTTACATTAAAACTTTCCTCCTCCGATGAACTTTTGATTTCTTTTTACTTTATCAAATAAATAAGTTGGTGGTGTTTGATTAATATTTGTTGTATCTCCTTTAATCATATTTAATTGTTTTTCATTTCCATTTAATATTGTATGATTATTATGTAATGTTGTTGTTGTTGTTGTTGTTTGTTGAATAGCTCGTTTAGTAACAATTGGTGGTGGTAACATTAATTTACTATTTTCTTTACACCAACCAATTGGATGACAACGTTGTCCATAAATATATGCCCAAAAATCATTTGATGTATCATCATCAGGTAAACCAACATAATGTAAAAGAATTAAACTATGTGATACTAATTGTATTTGTGTTAACCAATATAAATCATGTTGTATATCATAACAATATTCAAGTTGCATATTTATTTCAAAACCGGATTCAATTGATGCTGAATAATGATCAAAAAATTCATCGGAAACAGATCGTTCACCAATATATGATAAATATTTTGACCAAAGAAAATTTGTTGAATTTAATTGAGAAATATTTAAACAAGGTTTAAGTTCATGAATAATTATTATTCGATTTGATGATGAACTAAAATTAGATTTTAAGAAGTAAAAAATTTTCAAAAAATGAATATTTTTATTTACTTAGTTTTTTTTGTTGAATAATAAAGATCAAGTTTTGATTGATTTCTATTTGAACTATCTGACAATGAATCTTCTTGTATTGAATGATGTTTTAATTGATCAGTTAATGATTGTTCAATATTTAATTTATTATCATTATTATTAATAATTAATATTCGATTTAAATCATCATCAATTGAATCTG